GGCGGCGCCCGCTGCTGCTGCGGGGCCCGGCCCGGCCCGGCCGCCCCTCATTGGGGGCGTCGCCGTCACTCGGGAGGCTGCTGAGAACGGCGCTTTGGCCCGGGTTCTGTCTGCAGGTAAAGGGCCCTGCTCCCTGGGGAGCGCTACAGTCCTCCTTATAAAAGACATTTTGCATTTTTAAAGAAAACACAGGAAAGCCCTCCCCGAGCAGCTGTGTTTACCGCCATCCCACTGCTGCGCGCTCCCCTCCTGCCCGTGTTTTGTACACGCGCCGGTCCCAGCACGGTGGGGACGTGCTGATGCTCAAAGAGCACCCGGGCGCCTGCCGCATCCCCGCAGCTCGTGGGGACCGGGTGCAGGAGCCCCGCGCCCATGGAGCGACACCAAAGCTGGAGGAGCTTTGGGAAAGCTGCAAGGAAAGCCTAGCAGGCAGCTCTGCGCCTCCTCCTGCCCTGTGTTGCTCTCCTGTGCCTGGTTTCAGGGCCATGGGATGCAATCCCGGTGCCCAGCAGGCTCCTGCGGCTGTGGCTGAGAGGCAAAACCTGGAGCAAAGCAGTAAACGTACAAATCACAGCACAGCAGCTAAGTGTTGTAAAACCTAATGATTGCCGCTTGCTCTGGGAAGTAATCAGAGTTTCTTGTTTAAGCAGGACTTGCTCAGGCTTTCCCAAATGTCCCAGCTTTTGGCTGTTTGTGAACAAAAGGGATTTTTATTTTTAAATTGCGCAAGGGTACCTCCCGCTGTTGGGTCCCGGGTGGAACACGGGATCGTGTTTAAACAGTATTTTCAAGTGCAGCTGGAGCGAGCAGGTTTCACGGGGGATGCCGGGACTCAGCCAGTCACTAGCTCCTGTCCTGTCAGAATAATTGCCCTCTATCGCGGCTCGTTTCTCCACAGGACAATGTCGGCGAGCGGCGCTGGCCGCGTTCGAGAGGCCGGCGAGCCCAAATGACCTTGAATCCCGTCTGCCTTTGTGCTGCATCTCTCGCTCGACCAGAAAGTTTATTGCATAAGCAAAACCCTCCTGTCAAAAATACAGCTGAAAAACACTATGAAAATCTTTTCTATACCCGGTGCATTGTGTTCCCAGGACTGCCTGTTGTGCTAGCGTGATGTGCTATTGACGGTGGTTAAATACAGCTGAGAAACCAGACACAGGGGGCAAACAACACAGAAAACGTTTTTGTCCCCCGTCTGTTCCACAGAGGATCTAAAACACCACCTGATGCTAAATTTACCTGGGGAAACGGAAGTGTTTTCATGGTGACCAAGTTGACATGCTGGAAAAAACATGGGTGTCTCTGTAGTTAATTAAACCTGTATTTCTTTTGGCCAGGTCCTTCAGGTAGCCGATGGCAGGATCCCGTCGTGGGGTGCATCAGGACGGTGCGTCCCGGTGTCCTGGAGCCCCAGCACGCTACCCACGTGCAGGGATGCAGGTACTGTGGGAAGGGAATGGATTTCTTGTCGTGTTATTGCGTATTTTCCCACCTGTCCCTGCTGCGGGAGCCCTGCCAAAGCGGAGCCGGTGACCCGGCCGTGTCCGAGCGTGACACGGCGTGTCCGGCAGTCGTGCCGATGGCGGGTGACGCGCGCCGCCGGCCCCGCAGCTCACGCGCTAATTAGGTTGCCATTCCACAGCGCTGCGAGAGGTACGTGCTGGGCATTAGTCACTTCTTGGGCTAACCTTCCTGTCGGACAACTCTGGTGTTTACAGGGCACCGTCCGGCTAGCCAGAGCAGGGCAGGAGCACGGCCTGCAGCACCATCATCCACCCGGTATTTATGATTAAGAGCCACGACCAGGGCAGCAGGAGCACTGCCCCTGGTCTGCCCCGTGCACAGAAATCAGGCATCACCCGTTTCCAGGTAGGATGAGAACAGGCCAATTCAGCACTTTAATGGCCAGGTTTATTAGGAACACTTTTAGAAACATGTTGTCACTAAACAAAATAATATATACAGCAATTTAGTTGTGAGCAGTAAAACTGCAGTCGAGTGATACCGACCGCCTAACCAGCCAAGTTGCATTAGTTATTGGCACGTATAAAACCTCTTTAACTAGCCTGTGTTTGCGTTACAAAGATCAGGCAGTAAAACGAGCCCTGCTTTTGTTTTACAAGCAACAGAAATGATGAAGGAAGTGGTGCCCGCGGGGCCGAGGCTGCTGCGGAGCGGGGCCGGGGCGCGCAGCCCTGCAGCACCCTGCGGCCTTCGCTGCAGCGTCTGGTCTTGCTGCTGCTGGACGCTGCACCCAGCCCGGCGCTTCCC